TAAGTTTCTTATTTTTGTTGATAAAGTATGCATCAAGTTTTTCTTTCGATCAATTCAGATCTCATCAGCTGAACTCTACTGAAAATGTTACTGATTAAAAGTTCATGTTAACCAACATATTACAAATTATTAAACAAAACATATTATTAACATTTCATGATTTATTCAAAATATACATACATGTACATTATACATAAATACATACATTATAGATACAGAATTGCAAAATACACTTAAAAATATACACAATGTTAAAATCCACCGAGATCTACAAATATGACATATTATAATACATCATTGCCAAACATACTAAAATCTAAATTCAAAAGTTTTAAAATACATCTATGTAATCTGCCAACCTACTTATATGAGCATGCCTACTATCAATTAATGATCAGGACAATACATCTTCTTTGAAACTTTCTTAAGCTTAGAACATTTTTTATGATACCATGTTTGACATTCATGCTTTTTACTCACAAACTCACAGCCAGCCCAACCATATCTTGTACTACATCAGCTTGGCCACATGGACAAAAACAACTTACTTGGAATGTTGATGTGGCAACTTTGGATAATTTTAATTTTTTCTTAGTCTGTTTTGGAAAGGGAAGAATTTTTTTCTCTGTTAAACAGGATACCAAATGTGATCTCATTTCTTTTGCTTCAAATACGACTCTACTTGTCCCATTGAAACCATTGAAGCAAAACTCAGTCATAAATGCAATAGAGAAGAGGCCACAATCATAGCCATTATTTTGTTTTTGAACAGCTGGAATAATAACATCAAAATGGTTTACCCTATCTGGTTTATAAATCTGAGTTAATTGAATTTGTAAACTACTGTTAATGTCTTTTTTATTTAAGCTATCTAATAAATATACTTTGCCATCAGAATCTTGAATTGAAGTTACCCAATGAGAATTGCCATTATGATGAATCTGCACAGAAGGACCATTAGTTGAAATCATTGGAGTACACCAAGTGAACATATTTTTATTTGCTACATAAATGGGAGCATAGTTTGTTAATTGGAATCCAGAAATATTTTCAAATTGTCCCATTAGAACTGACTGAGCTGCATTAATTATCTGGTCATCTAACCATCCCTTTGGATTAAGAATAAGTTCATAATGTTGAGTTTTAAGAAAGTTAATATTATCTGCACCTTTGTCGACTGATTGAATTTCATTTTTTTCCATTTCATTACTATCTTTACTACTATTTTCACATTTTAATTGAACATCTGATTTATTACTTAAATTATCATCACTGGCCATTTCATTGATTAAACTATTTGAAATTTCATCATGATTTTCAACTAAATTATCAACAAGGGTTTTCATTTTTTTAATGTTTGTATCATTCATAACTGGCTCAGACTGCTCAAATCTTAATCGTTTTCTAGATTGGCTTGATTTACGAATGTGAGGAGATTTTAATATTGATTTGATTTCTGAGTTGCAAAGATTAGTTTTTAATTTAGGGGTTGAAGTAGCATTATCATTAATAGAAATATGTTCATTAAAATCATTTTCATTCATAGTAATATTAGCAACAGAGGAGTCAGGGGCTGGAATTATATCAAAATCACTGGGTTTGGGCTTTTTTCCACCTATTTTTTTTGCTGACCTTTTCCTACTATTTTTACGTAATACTGTTAAGTTCTTAATTCTTTTATTAGAGAGGTTTCGCAAAACGTTTTTTAGCTCCACGGATCCGTATCCGTAACGTATTTATCAGATTTATGCGTAGTCAGTTCAATTTATACGTGAAATGATACGGAAAACACGAAAAATGAGGCTTTTGTACGTTGGTCATTTACGTATCCGATTTTACCCTTCGATTATATTGTTTTTAGTTCTAAAGGTATCACTATATGAACAACCACAATGTGCTGTGTATAATTTGACTAAAATTTGGTGAATGAATTTGTTTATTGTTTGAAATAAATTGAGTTTTTCAAATAGTATGTTCAATTCATTTTACACTGTATGGAATGGTATTGCAATAATTACAGTGTACATGTTTCGCACAACGTTTTAGCTACCCGTATCAAAATCCGTAACGCATCGATGGAGTAAAAGTGTATTCAATACGTTTGTGATACCAACAGCAATACCGAAAGTACGTAAACTAACACTTTCTGTGCGTAGTTGTCTCCGTATCTATTTTGTCCTTCAAATCTTGATAAATTTTTCCCTAAATGTATAATTTTAGTAACACACATATGTTATCATGTGTGTCGTGCTAATTTTGATGAAGTAATAACCTTATCTGCCGATAAATTTGATTATAAGCGATGGGCCTGCAATTTTTACAAATAAAGCTTTAGTCACATTTGCTAATAGGCAGATGTAAGGTCTATCGTTTCTGGGGTCAATAGTAATACCGTAGTCAATTTCTTAGGGACATCAAACCAATGGTTAGCAGATAGGCCACCTGAATATATATTTTGTGCCTTAAGTCACGCTCGGAATTCATATAGAGCAGGGTCTTGGGCTTAGTTTGAGTATAGTAGCTTGTTCCTGACCTCGACAATGAATGTGATATTGGGTCTAAAGATGGCGCCCCGAATCAATCTTGCCCGTATCCAGCTTGTGGCAAGGGGGGGGGGGGGGGCTTTTTTGGTTTAAAACTCCCGAGAAGTGCTCAGTATGATGAAAAACTGAATGATTTTCAGGTAGCTTCTTCCCGTGGTATGACTTGAACACGCATCAAGTCATGCGATCTATGTCAAATAGTAAGCGGCCTCGTTTGGGGGTCCAGGGAGACTAGTGCCCTAAAGTTTAGTGTCCAAGCTTCCCCGAACCACCGTATCATTTCCTATTTTCATTTTTGTAAAGACAGGCCTGACATCCAGATCCTGTAACGGATCTTCTCTCTTACATATGAGTCACGGTAGGGGCCCCAGATGTTCCTAACTCTTGGGTAGTGGTCCATGATGTGTTCTTCATTAGCAGCTTTGTGATGATAGGGAAGGGGGGAGGTTGTAATTCAAGTACATATTCAGTAGATATCGGGTTGTCCCCGATTGTTTTGTGCGGTTGTCTCCAGTTGGAATAACTTAGTTGAGTAAATGGGTATCAACGTTTCGTTGTGGTTTATTGGTTGTGCCTGATTGTGTTTTGATGGGTTGAGTAAATCGATTGAGTATTTGACTAAGCCTGGTTGTGTAATGGTGGGTTAGTGTCAAGTAGGTATAGGTTTTGCCGAAATGTGTTGTGTACGTTTGAGACTAGGTTCTCTTTTGATGGTTGTTAGTCTGGTGATTTAGTATCGGGTTGTGTCCCATTGTGTTATGTTAATCTTATAATGGGTTGTTTTCTCTTGTGAATATGTTCTGTTGGTTGGCTAGCTGGTTGTGGCTAGTCGGGTGAGGTATCTTGTTTTGTCTGATTGTGTTGTGTGATTGGCGTTGTCTCCAATTGGGTTAAGTTAGTTGTGTATCTCGGTATTACAATTTTAATGTGTTTTTTTGCCTGTGCCTGATTTTGCTTTGATTGTTTGGTTTTGGGTTTTGAAAAATTGTGTTGTGCTACTTGAACAATGGGCTGTGTTTGCTTTTGTTGGTTTAACATTGGGTTGTGCCAAATTGTGTGGTGATAATTTCACAGTTCGATGTGTTTTCATGGTTGTTAGTTTAGTTGTGTTTTATTGGTTGTGCCTGATTGTGTTTTTATTGTTTAGTGTTGGATTGTGCACAATGGTGTTGAGTTAATTCAACACTTGGTTGTGTTTGTCTTTGTTGTCTTATTATTGGGTTGTGACATATTGTGTTAATCTGACAGTTGGTTGTGTTTTGGTGGTTGTAAGTCAGGTTGCGCCATGCTGGCTTTGGTGCCGGGTTATGCTATATTGCGTTCTGAGTATATTGACACTGGGTTATGTTCTATTGTACTGTTGCATGATTGGTGATCTAGGTTGTGTTTGGTTGTAATAGGTTATATATGTCGAGTTGTGGGCTGTGTCCGATCAGGCTGTGGTGTTTATTGGGATAAGAAACAAATGGCCGGTTTAGGGTAATTTGTTGTTGGTTTATCAGTTGATTCTATGTAGACCCCAAAGGAGATATAGGGTATTATGATGGTGAGATATTCAACTGGCATGTTAGGCGTTAGTTTCGCGTCGTTCTCTGATGAGCTGGTCCCATGTTGTTCAATGAATTCAAGAAAAACAATGCTAATTTATCTTTTTACATAATATATTTTTTGTTGATTTCTCATACAAAACATACTTTTATTGCATAACTGATATATTTGTGTCGCTTTCTATGATCAAATATGTTACTTTGTTCCCCTCCTTAGTTTATATGAGGCATGGGTTTTCAACTAAAGCCCATGTATGAGGAAAGGGGGGGGGGGGTGGCTTATGTGAAAACGTATGGTTTCCGAATGCCTTGGCCTTGCCCAAGTCGCTATTTTTTTTTTATCTTGAATTATTACCAAAATATACAGCTGCAAAAACATGAAATTAAAGGTCCATGTGCAGCATGGCAAGTGATTTTAGAAATGTTTACGCATTTTGTGGCATAATGCAGTCACTGCACGTCACTTAATGACCACTATTCAGCCTATTTGTTTTCAAACCCTTAAATATTCCCAAAAGAATAATTTGACACTGAATTGGTTATTGTAAACCGAGAAATAACCTTTTCTGGCCTAAAGGATATTCTTCATTTTGAAATTGATGTCATGAAATTAATAAATGACACCTTAGGGATGAAAGGGTTAATATGTATTTTTGCACTCACCAAAATTTCTTTTGGAGTTGTGATTCTGAAAGCTGACACTCCCAATGGTGTTTTGAAATCTAAGTGCAGATGAAGCCTTTTATTTGACCCTAGTTTTCACTACTATTAAACACGGATTGAGATGCGTTTATAATTACGTACTTCAAAAAACGCACTGCGAAACGAAAATTATCGATATACGTATCCGTAAACGTAACGAGATACGGATGCGGATACGTTTTAGCTAATTCGTTTTGCGAAACCTCTCTATTATCATTTAACGTCTGACCTAAGGAAAGTTTCACTGCAATTATATGGTAACAAGTATTTGTTGAAGGACACTGACACTTTTCTTTTGGATGAATAGTAACTGCATATTTTTCCTCTCTGATTCCACGGACAATAAAGCAACCCATCTCAGGAATATGTTTAACACCATTTGAATTGATAACTGCTTTGGCCATAGCTACTTGAGACATTGATTGTTTGCTATTGTTTTGACTCTTTATTATATCATTACTTTCTAACTTGACTGGTACGTTTGAGCCTAACACAGTATCATTAACTGGATGGGGAGACATTGGTGATTGACATTGATTAGACTGTTCCTCTACAGGAATTTGGCTTATTTCTGCCTGTATTTGATTATCAGGAATATCACATTTTGTCAACTGAGATGTTTGGAGCTTCTCTACACTTTCATTGTTAATATCATTTACACTATTGCTAGGACTATTTAACTGCTGGACTTCACTTTCATTAGACTGAACTTCCTGACTATTTGAACCTATTTCCCCAACATAACACCTATTGTTTTTAACCATTTCAATTATGTCTTCAGATTTGTATATATGATTTGGCATCACTAATTCATCAATTTGAATTGAACAATTCGAAAATTCTGGCAAAAGCAAGTAATTTCCAATCCCCGCTCTACCTCTGAGACACTCTGCCTGGTAAGAATTTTGTAGAAAATATAACGCAAGAACCATTTGATCAATGGGAGCTTGTTTACATTCTTGTAGTCTTTTCAAAACTGCATTATGAGATTCAGCACTATTGTTTGTAACACCAGAGAAAGGATTGTACATGTTATGTCCCTCTAACACCCAACGAACAGAATGGTTCAAAATGTCTGACCTAATATGAGCCCTAAAGTATTCTATCATAGCTTGACTCCATTGAGGAAAGAATTTTTCTTCCAGATCTTCAAATTCTTCTAAATTACAAGCCTTCAGCAAACTTCTAACCTGGGAGATGTATACAGTAATGTCATCAGATGTTGCACCATGACCTATCAGCCAGCGTTTAACATCGCTAATAATGTGGTTCCAGCAGTGTAACACAGAGAACATTCCTGTATTCACCAGTGCATTCTTTATACCACGTTCTCTATCAATGACTATTGGGATATTTTTTTGTTTACCAAGAGCAGGAATTTGATCTTTTAAAATTGAGAAAAAACGCTCGTGGTATTTCTGATCTTTTTTTTCATGAATAACATAGGCCAAACGTATAATTTTGTTGCCTTTGTACAAAATATGTCGAAATGTTAAGGGAGAAATCCAAAAGTCGCCTAAATTATAAGTCGAATCATAGTTCATGTAAAAAGGAATTTCGGTGGTTTTTTGAATTGAAAGTATATCTGAAAGTTCGGAGAATGTGGTATTAAGACCTACACAGCATAGCAAATTAGGATATACGTCAACATTCATTATGTAACCTCCAAGGTGATATGCTAATTCTATCAAATTATAAACTGCATCTTTGCCTAACATTTTTTCTTTCTTAAAGTTGTGCAAATGGCGCTGAACTTGGCGCAAGTTCCTTGGATTACCTATGCCCTGTTCTGTGCCTACAGTATTAGAAGCCAAAAGATCCTGATAAACAGCATTTGGAACATTACTAGAATGGGATTTGATATCATTAAGTACTGAAGGTTTTGTTCTTCGAAATTCAATTTCCTTATTTTTACTGTTACCATGTGCCAGTGGTATATACAATTTTTCATCCCCAAGATAATGTACCAAAACAAATGTTTTATTTGATATGAGTGAAATTTCAAATTTTCGAAACTGCGATGATCCCTTTTTAAGAGGTTTTCCATCTTTCCCCATTACTTTTATGTTGAAAGCTGTTTTAGTTATACATGCCCTTGGATCCGATCCTCTATTGGACCATGAGTACCCATCACAACGCCAATCCTTTTCAAAGATCTGATCCCTGTTGAATATGTATATATCACCTGCACGGGGTTTAATGGGAGGTTTAGTTGATAAGAGAGTGTTATCAACGCTAGAAAGAAAACTGGCATATCTATTGGTAGACCATGGGATATTTTCATTTGCAACAACAATGGATTTACCATCACCACCACCCACCTGTGAATAAAGAGGGACATGAACACCACTGACCCATTCACTGTCTTTCGCTCTAGTAGTTGCACTGTCCCGCGAAGTAACAGAGTTACGTAATGGGGCAGTACTGCTACCGGAACCAGACAGGTCAGAGCCAGATGGCACCTTAACAATGTTACCCTTGGTTAAGCCAGGGGAACGCCTAACACCACTGGTTCGTCCACTGTCTTTCGCTCCTGTAGTCGCACTGTCCCGCGAAGTAACAGAGTTACGTAACGGGGCAGTACTGCTACCAGAACCAGACAGGTCAGAGCCAGATGGCACCTTAACAATGTTACCCTTGGTTAAGCCAGGGGAACGCCTAACACCACTGGTTCGTCCACTGTCTTTTGCTCCAGTAGTCGCACTGTCCCGCGAAGTAACTGAGTTACGTAACGGGGCAGTACTGCTACCAGAACCAGACAGGTCAGAGCCAGATGGCACCTTAACAATGTTACCCTTGGTTAAGCCAGGGGAACGCCTAACACCATTGGTTCGTCCACTGTCTTTTGCTCCAGTAGTCGCACTGTCCCGCGAAGTAACAGAGTTACGTAACGGGGCAGTACTGCTACCGGAACTAGACAGGTCAGAGCCAGATGGCACCTTAACACTGTAACCCTTGGTTAAGCCAATGGTAGATTCAACAGTACTGACAGCTGAAAATAAGTTATGACATAAAACAGCCTGTCCCCGGGCATTAATATGGTGACCATCCCGGCTCAACATCCCACGTACTATTTTGCCATGTTTGGCAAAATCAATATGTGGAATATATGTTACGCGGGGTGTTTCACCACAGTAATGTCTGAGGAGCAGGTTTACCATCCTTGCAGTAGTGTTCATGTTGTAAAGCGCCTCATCTGATGGATGTACTCTGCATTCTTCTCCGTACCTCTGGCATCTGCTGCATGTCTCCTTTGGGAAATGGCTCCTAGCACGTGGCAGAATCCCCGAAACATAAACATGACAAAACTGTTTAGACAATGTACTGAAAACTAGTTTTTGAAACTTTCTCATAATTTGGGTGACAGTTTCATTGCTGGAATTGTTAGTCCCAACATGGTAAATGATGTTGTCGAAAGATGGAAGGATATCCGATACCTTTTCAAGTAAATCTTCAATTTTGCAACCACTATAAGAAAGAACTACTGCTTCATCCACATCGAAAAACTTTTGAACATATTTCAACTGACTGTCACCCACAATCAGAGTAGCCATTTCAACTAGTGTATCGATTTTCAATAATAATTAATTGAATGATGATTTTGCTTCTGTTCGATTTGTAGAGTAAGATTCAGCAATATATGTTATCAAGAACAAGTATCTCGCTTCATCTGATGAAACTAAGATTTGATGGTATTTTAAAGATGTTCAAGAGAAAGCTCATTGGTTGTAATTGAACACTCCTACATTTCAAGCAATCTTATTGGATGCTATAACTATATTCAAACACCTTTGAAGGTATCATATCATTATATTATAATCTTATTAAGATGTCTCATCATTGAAAACATTAGACTCCAGAACTGTGTAATTCCAATGTTTGTAAAAATCAATAGAAATTGTTTTTTTGCTAATCTAATACTATCTTTGAAGGTAGGATCAATTAAAACATCAGATAATCCCATGTGATAATATCCCAGAACTTTGAGAGATGATTCCAATGTTTGGAAAAATCAAAAGTGTATTGTTCACTATTGTTCCTCTAATCACACCTTTGAAGGTATGATCAATGAAAATAATTAAATCTTAAAGGTAATAGGCCAAATAAATGGTCCGAATATCAATTGTCCAAATCCCTTTGGTCAGAAACCTAATGATCCTAAAATTAACAATTGTTGATATGATATTTAAATTTCAATACTGTACTCCTGGTCAATTTAGCAAGTTTTAATTCTGCAAATTTTGAGAAATCACAATTTCGTGGCACTATTTCACAAGTTTCAATTTCATATTCTCTGAATCCTCAAGCTCTGTAAACAAAGTTACCCTATGAACAGTAATTACACCTACCCAATATATTTGGATATGGTACGATATACAATTACTTGCACCTCAGACTTAAAATGGGAAATTTGCGAAGATTATTTTTCTGCGAAACAAAATCAAACAAAATCCAAATGAAAATTATCTGGAGTACAGTGTTTAAATTTAAATATCATGACAGAAAGACTTAATATAAGATTTTAGCTCAACCTATCTAAAACCTACATTCAATTCCATTTACCTAATCTATTCGAATGATGTTAATCCCCTAAGTGCAGATTGGCATGTAGGGAGTACGGCAACCACAAGAAAAGCGAAATGTAATATTTTGAATAAGCATGGCTAAATGGATAATCTAAATATATGTTATTCAATAAACACACATCAATGTGATGTATTCCATGTTCATACATTTCTTGCATCTTTATCTTGATATTAAAATTAAGTTCAGACCAATGGAAATCAGACTATTGGAGTTTGGATGAATGGGATTTAGACCAATGAGGCGACCCCTATGATAGACTAATACTTATAGATTAAGAGGATGGCAATTCTGTCACAGAGATTTGACAAACTAAAGCCACTAAACAAATAGAAGTAAGGGAGTAGAAGAGATAATATAGACATCATACATGGAGCAAAGAAAGTTTGCATATACTGAGTTACATGTGTAGCCTACAGGGGCCCACTTTGGACAAGACAAATTTGTCCCAATGCAATATGACCACCGTTTCATACGAAACAGACATTATGACCTTCACCGACACCGATTCATACGAAACAGTTATACATTACAAAACTTTTCGACAGGGTCCTCACTCTCTTTTTCCTTGGTACACAGATTGGAGGGCAGTGGAGATATTTATTTCGGTCAATTCTACTTGTCCCGATGCCAGGTGTGGTCCCGCCTTGTGGTCCAAATCGTTAGGGAGCTAGAGAAAATCCTAATGGTCTGACCTCATGGCATGATGTGTCTAGGCTCTCTACTGATTTATTGAAACCCAATTTTAGCTGAAATAACATTAGAAATAGGTTATGCTTCATACAGTATATTCAATTCCTATATAGGCCTATGCATAAAATTGAAATTTATGATTTTTTGTGGAAAATATTAGAGTTAGCCTAGACTAGGATTACAAATCTAAAAAACTAAATACAAACTGATTTTATTTCCAATGTTACATGTCTAGATATCGAAGTTAGGTCTTCCGACAACAGATATTGCAGAATTTGCGTGTACAGGACGAATATATCGTACTAGCAGTTTGACTTTGAAAATTTCAATAAAAAATGGCGACCCGAAAATTTTAACTCGTAACCGTTTCAAAATTTTAGTATTTTCTGCACAAATACATAATGCAGCGACTTATCCTTGACAATATTTATAATTAATATATTTACTTATATGTACACATTAAAATCTCTCGAGTAAAACACCAAACTTTCATGGTATTACTATTCCATTTCCAAGGGTCAAATCATGTGAAAATAAACCATGTGGCTTTTCTAATCGCGGGTCCAATCAGGGGGAAAACGAAACGTCCCGTCAAATCGCTCATAGGCAGCCGGAAGAAACTTGTCACTTTTCCTGCTTGGAAATAAGTGGATTATTTGGTATATTTTTATTATTTCGAGGGGAATGTTGAAATCGTTGTAATAGGCAACTCAAAATGAAGAATAATTAGCCCACACTTTGGTTTTCTTTCAGAGAGATATTTATCTTATGATTCCTGTTGCCTATTGCTGCTCTTTAAATGAGGAGATAAGAAAAAAAATCAATTCGTGGAAAGATCGCCCGAAAATTTGAATTATCAAAAATGGCTCGAGGAGGACATAGCGATGACCCTCCATTCAGTAGACTATTTGTACTTTGTGGCAAGAAAACCGAGGAAGATGAATTGAAGCAGCTTTTTGGCGACTATGGCACCCTCGAGGATGTATGGTTGGTCAAAGATCGAGCCACTGGAATTTTCAAAGGTGAGACACGCGAAATAAAGATGGCGTCCTAACAGGAATTTTAAGCTCACCCAAATTGGGTGTCGACTTTTGGCTTGCAACTTTTTTTTTATTAGATAAATTTATTTCATTCATTGGCTTGCAACTGAAGATACCTCAAGAAAAGCCTGAGACTGCCGAAGATTTTCTTTGCAAACGAAGTGGGCCGAGGGTACCAGGAATGTGAAGAGGACGTCTCTAATTGGTCAAAAAAGAGAAGCTCGGCATTCTCCGTCAGATTGAATCAGCAAATTCTGTAGTCCAACAACATTAGACCTAGCCCGGGCCTCATTTCTTATCTGACATGTGTTATGGCCCGGCTAGGTCTAACCTCCATGACCATTTTGCCTTTGATGCGTTAATTTAATCCTTCAGCAGGTTTCGACAAGCGGAACAAATTAAACCCTGAAAACATGGCAATATTACACAAAGAATGTGATTCAAACATGCATACATACCTTATAAACACATACACCCCGTCCCGTATCCCCCTTAGACCCTATTGATGCATAATTACGAAAATATTGGAGACAGGTTTGGAAATGACGAAAATGTCGGTCAGTTTCGGTAACATCGAAATTGCAAATCGTTTCAGGAATTAACCGTCATCACGGCACTGCATTAACGAACAGTGGGTTTGCAATTAATAACTATTTTGCGTGTATACACGCGCTATATAAATCAATCAAAGATACCTGTTATCCTCAAAATTTATCTTTTAATGCAAGTAATCGCGATAATAATTATCAATCTATTTGACAACAATTTCGTTTCGCTGGTAGTTTAATTTTACGATCCGGGACACTCAGACGAACAGACACAATGACGGACATGCGGAATGTCACTTTAGAGATTGGTAAGTGTAGCCTCATTTTACTCGTATAAATGAACATTTAACACAAAAATATTGTGTTAAATCGCTCAATGTTATGTGTTTTTATATTATTGTCAAGTATCACTTGCACGTTATCGCGGAAAAATGGTTTCGATGGATTCAGAACTTGCATCAAAGGAAAGAATAGTAAGGAGGTTAAACTCAATAAGGGCCCCAAGAAAATTCCTAATAATAAAGAACGCCGTTATTGAGTTTAACGACGTTGAACTACAAATTCTGCTGCATGGCCCTAGTCATATAAATCCGACCATCGTATGCTTTATTTGTCATTATTTTTTGATAATTTGGATATTTATTTTTTGTTATTTTCTTGCATACTAGGGTCGTACACACTTCCCGATTGTAAATTGAGGGAAATGCTTTCCTGGCCTGTTTAGGCAACCAAAATCACACAAATTATGTATTAGAATATGCTCTTCATCGATAATGTATTTAATCCTACCTTACACACGTCAAACGCTTGATAATTGAAGAAGTATAAGAATTTTTCTGGAAATTTTTTTTTTCCCCATGTGTAGATGCATTCTGGGTAATGATTGTGTAAAAGTAAAACTCTAGGTGAAGCGAAAAAACGAAATTACAATAAATAACAGCAGCCATATTGAGATCGAGATTTCAACTCGAAAGTTTATCATCGTCTTATGACAATTGAATCGCCTTCTCAGACACCAAGGAGGGTGAAGAAACCGAAAACAGATATGTTGGTAATAAATAATTACGATTTTCGTTTTGGTTGCATGGTTTCACATTTAGACAGTATTCAGTGACCTTGAGTGACCTTGAGAACCATATTGGAAATTGGTTCAAACTTATACGAAAATGATTACATTTCTTCAATTATCAAGTATTTCCTGTGTTTAAGGTAAGAGTTAATACATTCTAGTTGAAGCATTGGATCAATTATCTTATCTGTGTAACTTTTGTTGAGCATAGAGGGCAGAAAAGCATTTACCGCAATATACAGGGCTTAATATCCTCGACGCAAATGTTGAAAACAAAAATAAAAAACAAATATCCAAATCGTCAAAAAGAAACGTGAAACAACAACATTAAGTCGAGTTCACTTGACTACATGGCCCAACCTCAAATGAATGGAAAAGTTGCTGTCCACACCCAAATTATCCAGTATTACATACCTGTATCCAAATTCTATCATATTTATACCAGGTGATTCGGTAATTTAGGTAAATTTGGTAATTTTTCATCATGTTCTGTATTTCAGGTGTGGCTTATATCAAGTTTTCCAAAGCGTCGGAAGCTGCAAGTGCAATGGAGGCCCTCAATGGAAAGTTTGTGGATTCTGCTCCCAAAGGTCTCAAGGTACAGTTTATTATACAAAACTTTTTCACAGGTGAATTGGACTGTTATTGTATTATATTTTATTATATACAAAGTACTATTATAAACGTTGTTAGATGGGGCTGCCCAGCACACTTTGACAGTTTGTTACTCATGACATGGGGCTTTAAGGTACAGTGGTACTTAGTAGGAAATGACTAAAACAGGAAGTGACAATACCATGCTTGATTTCAAACATTTTTTGAACCAAGATAACAGAGTTCTGTATTGACCTCCAGTCAGTTTAATTTAAGCTCCACATGTCATTTATATGACCAGGATCACAATATGTATGGTCAGAATGATGAAATACCCTTTTCAGCACTAAGAAAATGTGACTGAAAAATAGCTAAAAGTAGGCGCTTAGGAAAGGTCACTGAACAGAGTCTTTTGAATTTTTCAGAAAATGTGCCCAATATATTGCTCTAAATGATACAATCTTTGAAAATTTGATGTCATTCATAGAAAAGAAAAATATGAAAAAAAACAGAATTGAAAAGCGATCTATTTTCCTTTTAATGACCGCCATTTTTTACCCTGCGTGCAGAGTCTAGTTAAACTACACTCTGCCTAGTACAAACCGTATTACAGTTAAGTAGCCCCGCCCACATGACGGGTGCCGGTGACAGTTTGGGTAATAAATCACTTCTGACCTACGCGCTGACCTTTCTTCCACCAATCAGCAAGCCTGAAGAACCACGCACCAAAATAAATTCTTAATTGTCATTGATCAATTCCGGGCTTAACGATGATGTCAGAAGGAATGACCATATATAGAACGTCGGTCAAATTTGGCTGACGAGCACTGATTGGCGCGGTGAGTTCACAGGTTTATTTTAGTTTGAAAGAGTGAAGACTTAGCTCTCTTTTTAAGAAGTGAAGTCGAACGAATGCAAAGGGTAGCCATTTTTGTTTCAGACAATTTTCAAAAATTTCAAAGATTAATAAGTTTTAAGTTATTTTTGTTCAACATCAATACAAAAAATTCCCCAATGACTCTTGGTTCAAAAGCTTGCCTAGCCTATTTTCGAAATGGTCGCCATTTTTGTCTCGCGAAATTCACTTTTGGCCCATTTCCTAGCTTTACAAATAATTTAAGGTGTCCTGCATTGTAAAAAGCCATGTCTTTGTAAAGAGTAGTTGTATGAAATAATTTTGTTACAAAAAATCTGCAAAAAATTATATCCTTTTTTTATTTGTTGTCATTTTAGCCATCATTCACTTTTGAGCCCAGTACCCACAGTACTATTTTTTAGATAATCTTACCCTATATCTAATGAATATTTTAATGTTTTCAGGTCATTCTTGCCAATAAAAAAGAGGAGGGCTCCCGAGTTGACAATAAAGAAGAAGAGAAGATGCTCAGATTGTTTTGTATCATACCTTCAGAAGACACAAAAGAAGATGTTAAAGAACATTTTGAGGTAAAAATCAAGATTAATGTCACATATAGTAGATAACGTAAATTATTCTCTCAAGGGTATTTGAAATAGCTCCTTCTGGAACTGCATTTAAGAATTCATTTGCAACTTGTCCCAAAGTAATGTTCTTGTGAAGATCAAGACATGGTCACATGTGGTTACTGTGTAGCCACTGAGTTTTCTGACTGGTTTTGGCATCTGTAACAATTTCTGTTCCATTTTTATGTGATGAAACTATGTAATGTTGATATCTAGTATTAGTATATATATCCATGTTACTTCAGTGATCTCCACAGGATTTTTCTCAAGTGGGTGCTAAATTCTCATTTTCACAATTCATACCAAAATTGATCAAAATATGCCCAAATTACATGATTTTTCTCATTTTCAAGTGGTTGCAAATGGATTTTCAGGTGGGTGCAAGCCTATTATTAAAAGCTCAGGTAGGTGCTGCACCCACTTGCTTTAATGCTGGGGAGATCATTGAACTTACTCTTCAATACCATCATTTTGGAGCATGGTATTGAACTTTCATATAAATCAAATGACATAAGTCAATCATTTGTTGACAAAGATATTTATCGGGGATTCATTCCTAGGTAACAAGAATGAAGTGAAAAATGTCTCAAAAAACTGTTTGTTTTCCAGCAATTTGGCAAAGTTCAGAGCGTGATGATCAATGAGGACAAAGTGACAGGAAAGAGGAAGAACTTTGGATATGTCTCTTTCTTCAGAGCATCCCATGCAGCCAAGGCCCTGGAGGAGTGTGACAGAAGTGAGTTGTTGTTGTTTATGTAGCTGTTTTGTTATACTATATCTAGAAAATTAGACATTTTCGTTCGCATTTTTATTATTTATTTAGTATAAAGAAAGGAAATCTTTGTCATTTTGACCTTTTTAAATTTTCTAGTTTCTACTAAAAGACAATGAGCCTGTATCTGCTTATTTTTTATGTCAACACCATTGTTTACTTTTTTGTGGATGTCATTCAGCGGTTGGTGTTTGGTGTCTGTAACAAATGGCAGGTGGTGGCATTTTGCATGTTAATGCCTCATTTATGCTTTGATAGCTAGGATAGAATTTATGTATGATTGAAATAAAAATGTTATTCCCAAAATGTTTGAATCTGCTTGTAAGTCATTTTGGGCTCAAAAGAGTGACAGTGATATTTTCCAATTTTCAGAATACAAACCTAAATTTGCTGAACCACGAGGCATGAAGCGTGTAAGAGAAAACTCAGGTTCTTACGATGATCGTAGCTGGGGTGGGAGGTCAGATCGTAGTGGTGATCGATACTCAGATAGAAGCTTCTATGGCGATAGGGATCGTCATGGTGACAGGTATGACATCTACACTAACATGATAATAAGCATTTTTTCACTATGTATAGGATATCCTATGATTTCGAGTGATATCGTTTTTATCCACAAGTTGCTATTGATATCAGGACAAAAGAACATAGCGAATGAGTGCTGATATTGATATCAGTAAGTGGTATTTTTTTTCCTTGCTGTGTTCGCATTTGCCTGTTTTTTATAATATATTTACATTCTCATTCTCTTCGCTCAGTACTAGACCCTAAATTGTCTAAATCCAGGCCAAAATCAAACAAACTGGAGTGGTCATCCATATTTCTCAATTGATCATGTGACTCACAAATTCACTGTGTATTCATCAAATTGACAGGAGTTTTTAACTCCGTTGAGAAAGTCTCATCTGTGGAATATTCTCCATATTATATATTTTATTTATTTATTCTTCAAGTACATTCACACCCCTTGGGGTCAAGTACATGTACAAACAAAAATTATAACAATTATAAAGAAAGGAAAAAGAAGACATTTACATGTAAAAAAGACTACATAACTATTAGTATTACTATTAATGATGATGATGCATTAGTGCACGAGAGATATAGCTATTGGTACTGGATGTAAATATATATTTTGCTACATTTATACAGTTTTGATCTTAACCAGACATCAAATAAATAAATGGATTTTCTTGTACTGGCATTTTCATTTTAGACAACATTATACTTCTTTGTTTATTATGTTTCGTACAGTGAAGGAGATAGTGTTCTTCATTTTCTATAATATTGCCTGTTTCGCATTTTCTCTCATTTTCACTCTTATATATAGTTATTGCTTTTCTCCACACATTTGCAAAATGTCATAAATATAATTACATGTTATCATACAGAGTTGACCTCAATTATTGGATAAGTAATTAATATTCTTTGGTCCATACAGTATAAGCTTCTCTTATTGGACTCCCACTCGTCAATCATTAGTCAAATGTTCATGTATTGAAATTAAATTGTGTTCAGATTCTGTAATTATGAAAAATTATTTCAATCTGTGATCTCCCTAAAGAGCAACTGGTGGTTCACCCTGACCTGTTGAAAATATGGTTGAAATATTGAAATATTTTGACCAAATCCAGTAAAATTAGCACCCTGATGAGCAAAAATACTAGAAAGATCACTGAAATTTGTGACGTATACTTTTCAGGCACAGAGATGAGGATCGTTATATGGACAGACGTAGATTGGACAGAGGCTATGGTACAAGTGGAGACAGAGGATATGGGGGTAGAGACATGGGGTCAAGAGATATTGGAGGTTCTAGCCACCTCATGGACTATGGTGTATCTGCTAAAGGTATAACTTGCTTTGAGATCAACATTGTTTGACTTTCATTTTAATTCCTTTTTTAGGTGTTTCTTAATAAAATATAACCCTACTATCACACCAAACTAGTTCTCACTACGTTCTCGAAAACGGGCTTAAACTGTGCACGAATGGATTTGATTTTAAAAACCCACTAAGAACCGTTTGGGATCTGTTTACAAACTTCATGAAACTACTAGAACGAGTAGGTCCTCCAGCATTTAGAGCATGCTCAAAATTTTCTGGTGATCATCAAAACGTTGCCGAATCGGTTTTAAACTGTGTGCGAACTGAATGAATGTAGCTACAACGTTCTACGGTCTGTTTACGAACTTCATGGACTTTCCCGGACGGGGTATGTGATTTAGAATTTTGAATCGATTCAAAATTCGATCGCGACCATACCGTTCTGTAATCAGGTCATGATGACCTTCTAGACCAAGGGATGGTTTATACTACGTTGCACACCGACGTGGTGCGACCTGAACGAACTGCGAATGAGATGGACGTATTGAAGACTGTTTATGAACGAAGTAGCTAATTATTTTAGACATATATCCCGACCGCAGCCAGATTGAGCCCGTTTTACGACATTTTCGTAGGACTGGTAAGAACGGGTAAGAACTAGTTTGGTGTGATAGGGGGGTTAGAGAACACTGAAACATAATTCCACAACACAAAAGTCAGAAAATGTTCTAAATATCTAAATATCTTCCCACTTTTTACACACTTGTACCCTTACACACTTGTACAGCAATTTTTATGAATCTATACTTTCATTTCTTTTCTCAAACTCATGTTTTTGCATCCCTCAAATTCTTGTACACTTACACACTTGTACACTTTTACTTCTTGTACAACATTGCTGACTTTCTCGCATTTCAAGATTAATTTTACGTACAATTTTTACATTCTGATTTTCAGTTTCATGAGATATTTTAAATATCTTAGGTTTTAATTTTAACTTTTGAAAAATGGACGTTTAAAAAATCAAAATAGCTTATTTTATGATACCATATTTTTCATTGTTACTCTGACCAATCACAAAATTATTGACTCACTTAGTCGATCTTATTTAAAGGGATATACTCAGCCATTTAGTACCCAACAAAAAATCAATGCTTTATGTTCTGTTAAAGAACCCATATTCTTATCATTGAAAATGGATTCTACCAACACTATCACACAAGAATCTACTTGTTGAGAGTTTTTCTGAGATAATGAGGATTTTGTATGTACATATGTATTCATATGATGATGTCCCCATGTTAAGTCAATGGTCTGACTAACCAAGAGTTGCCTTGTAATTCCAGCAATGCAGCCAGGTTTTGGCATGGACCTGTACAGTGATGTAGACCATGAGAACTGCACCAATATTCAAATTGTTGGCTCTGTGACGCTATCCAAGGGTCAGATCATGTCTCTTTGTGACCTCATACCTGGTCTTGTTAATGTTGAGGGTGCTCCCAGTTCCAGCAGAATGACGTGTAAGTTCATGAAACGAGGATCTTAATGTTAATTTTTATTATTTTAACTTAACAAATACTTATCAGTTAAGATTTGAGACTTGACCTTCAATGACCTTCTCAAGGTTAAAAAAGGTCAACTTTCTTCAAATTGTCCAAATTTTTTTCCAAAATCATCTACAAGTTCTCAGAAGTTCAAATCTGACTTTAGATTTGAGATATGACCTTCTATGACTTTCTCAAGATCAAAAAAGGTCAAAAGGTCTTTTTTCAACTTGCTTCAACTTGACCCAAATATTTCTTTTCAAGGTCATCTACAAGTTCTCAGAAGTTTAAATTTGACTTAAGATTGAACTCACAATATTGTGAGCAACTAGGTGGTGACATTTTGTCATCTTAATGCCTTGTTATTTATTGAATTTGTTTTACATTGCATAATAAAACATAAACACTTTGCCATAGCATTTTCAGCCACTTGGTTAATATTGAATGATTTTTGGCTTGTTAATAAAATAATCAATGCCAAAGTTGTAATATAAAACTTACAATTTGTCTGTTTTCAGCCAGTTATTTTGTAAAGTACAGCACACCTCAGTGTGCATCATACGCCAAAGCCAAACTGCATGGGTTTGAGTATCCTATTGGAGCGAAACTTGTGGTGACATACTCAGAAGACCAAGCGGACCCTTCCAGTGTTCAGAGTAATCTTGCCACCCTTGCTGAGTCTATTGCAAAGGTATAAAGCTTTGTGTTGTTATATCATTTGAATGTTTTGCACGCTCCCCTTTGCTAATAACTGATCCCATGATTAGATTACTCAGTGCCGGTTCTAGTCTTCAACATACCACTGTCAGGGAAAATCGTCAGTATCAGGTTACATCATAAGGTGGCCATTCCCTTGCTCATGCCACATGATTGGAAAATCCAGAGAACTTGAAAAATTGCATTGTGCGTACCAATGCCATGGCCATTAACACTGCCTTGTGAGTTCAAAATAAAAGGATGAGTATTATATGTCTACATTTTTTGGAAGTACAATTATTATTTGACTTTAAAATCATATATTGCAATTCTTTTTCCAGTGAAACATGTTGACCATAATAGAATAGCATGAACTAGTATAAAAATTCAGAATTTCAGAAAAGGATGAAAAGAAATGAATTCGCAAAGTATGAAGTAAACAAATAATTTGTGAAAATATCCAATTGTATTGAAATTCGTCTTTCCTTTGTTTCAGGAAATAATGTTTTCATGGAATCATAATTTTTGTTTTAGGCTGGCAACCTCTTACAAAAGGCAGGAATGGGGAACTCAATAAGACCAGATGCAGCACAGCAGTTAAATCAGGTAATCACCTGTTTAGTATTCTGAGAAACAACCAATATATAGTGCATGTATATGATAGATATTCTGAGAGCCAAGGGCAAGGCTCAATACAAGACATAATACATTTGGTGCCTTTAATAATTCATTTTTGCAATGTCTAAAACTTGGTTCCTAGTCGACTTTGGCTCATAGTTCAAAAGGAATGATTAGTTCTATTCAGCCAACCACGACCACATGTGAATAAATAACATATCAAAGAGGAGAAATATAACTTGATGTTGTTATTGTTAGTTGGTGAGTAGCATACAGAATGTGACGCAAGGCGGCTCAATGATGGATGGGAACCAAGCTATGGATAGGATCAGCTATACCAATATACCTCTACCCCCACCCAAGCCCATGTTGAGTCTAGATACCCCGGTAGCTCAGAAAACCTTTGTCGTGTTCAACCCAGAGCCTATCCCAATTCATATTATGGAGGATCTGTTTTGCCGTTTTGGAGATATGATAGAAGCTTACATTGTTCCAGGTAATCACAAGATTATGATATTGCATCTTTGCATTTCTTATAAACTCTTTAAGTTGGTAATTTGTTAAAGTCGTGAATTAATATGAACAAGTGTTTCATTTTAAAACATTTAATACTGAATAGTATTGAGATCAGGTCTAACCATATATGGTCATATTTCAGGACGTAACTTTGGGTACGTAAAATACGCTAGCAAACGTGCAGCTGAGGAGGCCATGAGTGTTGTTCATGGACAGGAAGTGTGCAACTCACGTCTAAAGGTTTTACCAGCAGAAGAATCACGTCAAGAAAAAGCTAAACGCTTGAGACAAGAACAAATTGGCGATGGAGATACTGAAATGCGAGAATCATGGGATTAGCAAGGTATCCTTTGAATGACACTTTTTGAGATCTATTTTCATTTTGTGATAATAGATATTAAAATTTGTACATGATCTCAGGGAAATTAAATACAGTATTATCATTTTTCATTAAGTCTTGTAATTTGGTGTATTACTATTATTATTTGAAGATGTTTCTTTGGTTCCACTCTATATCAAGGTAAGTAAAGTGTTGAAACCGATTGAAATTGATTAAAATTCAAAATTGAAAATTAATTGAGAAAAGAGTCTATTTATACTCATTAACATTTGAACATATTTGCATATTTGAATTTACATTGTAGTGACGAGAAGAAAAGACAGAACACACATAAACAGATGACGGATGACTCTCACATGGACGACATTACAGCTTAAGAAGACTTTATTTGTACAAAGACATCACACACAAAATGGAAACAGCTTTTCTTATAGACCATCTAAATACAATACTAGCTTACATACTTGGGGACATACATATACAATGTCAATATACCTACAGATATACATATACAAAGAAGACAGGACACCTTGCAGTTGACCTTCACAAATTAAAATTTGGAGACATGTATTATACAAACTAAGAGGACCAAACTGAGAAGACTATTTCAACAAACATATGAAGTGAAGACAGGAAGTTTTTTGTCATTGACGAAAGAACCATTGGGAGATAACAAATTTGATTTGTGCGGCATATGATGTACGGTTTTTGACAATGTATTTGACAAATTTTGAAATGTATATGACAGTATGTATGTGACAAAGTTTGTGTGATAATGGGTATTTGACAACATGTAAGTTAAAACATGTAGGTGACGAAAAGTAGGTGACAGTAAGGGACAAATGTGTGTGACAGCATGCAAAAAACAGAAGCAATAGAGTAATACTATGATACAGGTCCTTAGCTCGGGGAGTTTCAAGTTTGGGAACCCACCGTTGGCCAAATTTTTTTTTCACAAATCATGCAGTTTTTCATCATTCTAAGCACTTTTCAAGTGATTTTGGCCAAAGTTGTCAAATGTGGACCCCTGGGATTTTTTGAAAAATGAACCCCTTAGAAGCTGGCTAGGGGCCTGTTATAATAACTTTATAGTTTATCATAAAGGTACTAAGACGTATTCCAATTTGTTGGTTTCATCTGGAAGACAGAATTATGAAGTTTTAGTTAATGAACTATACCTGTACAATATAAAGACAGATTTAGTACATTGTATTTCAGAATTGACTGTATTTTTTAAGAGCATGAAACATACATGTGTGACGCAAATATCTTTTATATTAAATGTTGTTGGCTTGATGTGACAGTACCATACAAATATGGACATTTCAGTTGATTAAAACAAGCTGTATGACAGTCTATGTTGTGACATAAAACTGTATATAGCAGGTGTGGACGGTATTCTACATTGCTGAAAAAAACATAGAGACTGGGGTGAAATTTGTTGAAAAAACATAGTAATGAAACGTGATGATAAGCGAAGCTGTAATCTGAATGACTTCTATTTATTTTCAAACTATACTCGATTATTGGGAGCCAAACTACAGCATACTTCAGACTAGCCAGACCTAAAGTATAATATTCTTTTTTACACATACAAATTAGTTCAGCTTCAAGTTACGAATTCTAGACTGTTGTTGGAACCATACCATCAGATTCTATTGATTCACTTATCATTTTAAGCTGAACTTGTAAAGAAGGGACTTTCCCAGTTCAGTCAATTTCACGACTTACATTATTTATCTTTGCTTACATATATTTGTGTATATGTAATTTGTACACGAATATGAATGATAAATAAACGTATATATAAACAAAAGACACATTTTATGTTCACTTATAGTCTAATTTGAGGAAGACGATTATGGTGTCCATAGTGAGAATTCCATGAGAAGTTTTCTCATCATACATGTCATATGTCTCTCATTATATGGCCCTTGGACTGTCAAAAACCAAATATTCCTAAGAAAAATTAAATTCTTATAATTAAGATTAACCACTAGTTATGTCACCACCACAAGTGGTGAAATATTGTTATAGTTTCCAATTTTTGTGGACAATGTTCAGCGGTTGGCGTTCGAAGTGCAGTATCTGTAACAAATGACAGGTAGTGACACTGCATGTTAATGCCTTGTTGGACTTAGTTCAGAATGGTGACCAAGTCCAGTTGATTTTGCTGAGTACATGGCTTTTATAAATGCCGAAACATGGGATTTCATCGTCTAAGTTGGTCAATATCACGCCGACTGCTCGATCTTATTCATGACATTGTGTGCTGGCTCATTTTGTCTAAGAATAATCAACTTTCGAATTGAAAAAAAATGTGTGAAAATCTTGAAATTTCTTGTAAAAACGACCTACTCCTAGAAATAGATCATTAGGCGATGACATCCCTGGTAAAAGGGAATTTTTTTTGAAAAAAACCCCATAAATGTTCAAAAGTGTCCGTTAATTTAACGTATGGGACTCCATTGAAATGTTGAACTTGTCCCTAATAGTAAGGAGTGGCTCCAAACTAGTCACAACATTTGACCTCACATGGACTACCCCTAGAAACCCCTGTCTTAGCAGAATGTATCTTAGACAGAACATATTTAGTGAGAAAACTACATGTATTTGTATGTAGCCGATTGATACGTATATGTTGCCATTTCGATTTTATATTCAAGCTTAAACTCTATAGTAGCGAGTTTAAGCTACACGTTTTTCTTGGGAATTGTAATAATATGACCTCAGGGAGTCTGTCCCCCCTCTCAATTTGACTTCCCATGGGCTTGATTACTTTTTCCTTATGCTTTATATCTTTGATGAGAAAGTGAGTACAACGAAGAGAAGGATTTATCCCCAGAGGACCAATTGACTGTTCGCGTACACGTTCTCATAAAAACGTATACACCCTTGGTATACGCAGCTAACGAAAATTGACCGGTACGGGTCAAAAGCTGGACCGGTTCGGGTTAACGGTTTTATTTGAATTTAAAATAGCCATAACTTGCTCATTATTGACTTCCTCGTGTCTAATTTGAAATATATGATGCCTCCCGATGCTTTTAAGTACCCCAATTTTTTACAGATTTTTAAACAGACCAAAACTCTCTAAATGCGCATTTATTCTCTTTTCTCTGGAGAACGACTGTCTCATTTTCACGATAACTTTTATTTAGTACTTCTAACATATAAGATCTATTTTTCCCCATCAAGGCATGATGTAAATGACATGCTATTTACATCTTGTGAGTTTGAATGACGCGCGTTTGATTTTATAAAAAATGCCAAACTTTGTGACAAAGAATTTCATCCTGCTTGCAGCGAGAAGACGGACCGGTTCGGGGAAATCTGCTTGTAGCGAGAAGACGGACCGGTTCGGGGCAATAGCTGATGAAATTCTTTGTCACAAAGTTTGGCATTTTTTATAAAATCAAACGCGCGTCATTGAAACTCACAAGATGTAAATAGCATGTCATTTACATCATACCTTGATGGGGAAAAATAGATCTTATATGTTAGAAGTACTAAATAAAAGTTATCGTGAAAATGAGACAGTCGTTCTCGAGAGAAAAGAGCATAAATGCGCATTTAGAGAGTTTTGGTCCGTTTAAAAATCTGTAAAAAATTGGGGTACCTAAAAGCATCGGGAGGCATCATATATTTCAAATTAGACACGAGGAAGTCAATATTGAGCAAGTTATGGCTATTTTAAATTCAAATAAAACCGTTAACCCGTACCGGTCCAGCTTTTGACCCGTACCGGTCAATTTTCGTTAGCTACGTATACCAAGGGTGGTATAACTGAATCTCCCGATAACAACATAATATTTTAAAAACTAATTAGCTTTATTTGGAGAAGTGCTATTTAAATCAATTATAGCTTAAAATATATCTGTTCTGAATCCTTTTAAAATTAAAAACATTAGATAACAACATAATATTAAACTAATAAACAAGGCTATATTTCAAAAATTATAAAATCAATTTTGAACGTAAAATATATACTAGAAAAGTATCCGTTTTGAATGCTTTAAAAATGAAAAACATCGGATAACAACATAATATCAAACTATACAATTGTATTTCAAAAAGTATAAAATCAATTTTCGACGTAAAATCTATAAATCCATTTTGAATCCTTTTAGCTGTTTTTTACACGAAAGCAAATGAGGTATTTCAAGAGCGTTCTCACAAATGGGTTTGATTATTCCATGGTATACAATTAATCCGTCGGTGATTCAACAGTTTCATCCGAAGTTTCTTTAATCAAACTGTTCAAGAATTAGTTTCCCTTTCGAAACTGTTTAGTGCAATATTAAACACAAAAAATGTCACATATTTATTTAAAGTCTACATTGAAACAAATAAATGTTTTGGTATATAAGTAAAATGCTACGTGGTAGTCCTCCTTACAACATCCGAACATGAGTTTTATTTACAAGTTTCACACTATCATAAAAAGTGAAGTTCTCTGTGACTCCTTTACAAGTCGTAATGTCATATTTTTGTCTATCATCAACTTGACCCCCTATCCACTTTAATAACAGTTGTTGAACTAGGGGGGGGGGGGGGGGGTTCTTGAAGTTAGTGTAGTCCTATTTTGTAAATTTACTATGCTGTTTAATATCACATATAAATTAGAGGCAAGGCATTGTTCTCTGCAGAGCATGAGTGTTTACTGTAGTTATTTATGATGTCCTTTCTTCTTGCCCTTCCCCCTATTCTTTCCATTGTTGCTTCCATGGCTGCCAGCGCTGCTATTGCTGCTGTGAGACCCTCGCCGTCCGTTATTGTGACCTCTCCCGTGTCCTTTACCAGGCTTGCAGAACACGCCCTGGAGCACCGCACAACATGAACAGAAAGCTCCCATCGTTCACCTGAATAAGGAATGGCATTACACTTAATAAGACATTTACATGACCTCAACTTAAGTCACCAACTCATTTTAATTATAAGAGTGAAATAATTTGTTACAGATCATGCCGGAAAGACGGTCACATAAATGGTTATAGCAATATGGCAATTTTTGGCGGCCCGGAGAGCTCCAGAGGACATGACATTCTTCTCCAACCTATTTGAGAAGAATGAACAAACCTCTCTCACATAATTGAAATTTGCTAACGTAAAGGTTCAATCACAAATGTGATTTATAATACGCATTCTGACTAACACAATGACCAACTATGGGAATGAAATACTCAAAACAAAGGTTGTACCTTGAATACTACAAATCACCAAAACATATTTCCTACTGTAAAAATATTCCAAATTCTATGCAGTTTTTGTCAGTTAGCATCAAGTAGTATTGCAGTAATAAGATATAATTATTAATTAATTGTATTCGATACTTACTTTGTTTTAGGTCTAGCTGGAAAGACAATCTAATTCACCATCAAAAATATGTTTTGCATTTACAAGCTCGTGAATTGCTTGGTAGTTCCTTTCTCCTTTAATAGTATAACACCCTGGATAAATACATAGACAATTGTAGTTTATACGGAACCAATGGCAACCATAATGGCTACAAAAACAAGAAGGACATTGACACCAGAAGCAATTGTTTACCATTGGATATTCTTTGAAATAATTGCTATATATTTTGGGATTGATGATCCTCTTTTACGAAAAAATCATCACGTGACTAGAATCTACCAATCATATTCTGGCTTCCTCCAAAAGAAGTTCTATATCAAAATCAATTAAATTGACGTCTCGGGTAAATATCCAAGTCCAAGGTCTACGTTTTTTAGGATGCAATCTCAAAGGATCAATAAAAATCTTTGTTACCTGCGCAAACAAATACAGCGTTCCTACATTCCTGTTTAATATAACGGGGAATACTTCTCACTATTGTTTTAGATATACATACATACGATGTGAACGTACTTAATTAATACAACAACGAGAAAGTTCATCAAAATTGGAATTATAAAAAATGTCCTGGCCATGAAATGTTTGCAAGGATATGGATCCATATAATTTACAGTTTATACCTATAGCATTACAAACACAATACTTCACAAAAAGGTTTAAATATTTGATGAAGGTCGAAAAAAGTTGATATGTTAAACGTTCACGTGAAATAAGAGCTATTTGCATTATAGAGACGTTGCAAAATAAAAAAAGTGAAAATAATGTCTGTTTTCGACACTGCAACTTAGTGCTAAAATAGCGATTAAGTTAAGGTCCACTTAAAATGTTAAAGTGAAAGGAATGTATCAATATGATTAACTCTTTTGAGTTTCCGTGATATGAACAAACAATTAACCAAAGCATCACACATTGGTGACAATTCTTAGAATTAAATATTTCAAGTCTGCCTTTTCAAAGTTTAGAATTTCCTATCACTTATTCTCATACTACTTTTATGGAGGGATTCTCATTTTAATGTTTAGACCATCTGTGTCTTGCAAAGAATACTACTGGATGGAACTGATCGAAGGCTAAAGACATACGAAATTCTTGAAAAATCGATCTTGCTCGAAAATTGTAAGGCCTTGTTTTCCGATTTGCATGTGGCCACCAAAGCTTTGCTCCACAAACCAACAAAGCAACAAAACTGCATTTAATTCTGATCGTGATAAACCATGACATCTCATCTCTTCTCAGCAATGCATCCTTCAAGATCGGGCATTCACTGTCCCAGCTCATGGAATAAATTGGAATCCGGGATTGGAATACCCTGGACCAAAGATGTCAGCAGTATGTCTCGTGAAACAGAAAGATGCAATGAGTATTCGCGATGCGATGAGTATCATGCTGGTTGTATATCAGAGGTAGATCTGAAAATCTAGAGGAAGGGGGCCCAAAAAATTCTACACTAGTAAATGTCACTTTGAAAACGAATAAACAGTAATACATTAGAATATGATGCCAGCCTTTTTGATTATCAAATGAAACCAACAAGATAGTTCACAGTTCAATTTGGCATTCAACCTATGGACGGAAAATAATTTGGGCGGGCACTTTCATTGAAAGATGGCAGCACCTATGTACAACGTGCTACTAGTATTTCCACACTAAACTCTAAATACAAGATACAATACACAAGAGCAACATTTCAAAATCAATATATCACACTTATTGATCATTTTCAATGTGTGCTCCATTGTATGAATAGTAACCTCTATGAAATAAAAAGGTGCATGGTGCAATTATCAATCATATCTTTTATTTTTTGGAATAATCACACTCCCAACATTTCGACTCATTGTACTGTATACGTTGATCAAATTGAGAAAATTCCGAAGAATTTCATGAATATGGTGAAAAGTTAGAAAGGATTGAAAGTAACAACTCCCAAAATCACGAGTGTAACTAGTATTACCATAAAATGACTTCATAGTTTCGGATACTGGATTTTTTCCGATGTTCTTATTACCGGCGGCTGGCAAGATTTATCTTGGTTGATTTCATCTTCCCGCAAATATTTGGTCAAATGCTGATAATCAAATACAGTATAATTAGTTTTTACAGTTTTATTTACTCATGTATTTGTGAAGTAAAATCTTCAATCCTTTCAACCAAAAGCATGAGCAACCATTGGATGTTATTAAAATCACAGTTTTATTATTACACATTTACCTAAAAGACATATATTTACACCAAGATACGATTACTAGTAATTACAATGGGAATAACACCAGGGTCCAAGAAATATAATTTAATTTAAAAATCCGTCATAAAAATCTTATTCACCTGGTCCACGTTCTCGTGTTGAAATAGTGCGTTCGTATTTTTGATTCATTATTAATAAATGTTTCATGGCAATGTTTCACATACAGTAAATACGATAGTGAAAACCTATGGAGCCACATGAATGTGTTCACTGTAGGTAGAGCAGGTAGGTGTTCACTACAGAGAGGCGATTCAGACGTTTGTGGAGTATGTGGGTTCCCTAGACAAAGGTGTTCACTTGAGAGAGGTGTTCAATAATCAGGTTTAATTGTATTTCATTCTAGATCATCTGTCATTATTAGATTTTTGTATGTCAATGTTAATAGATAGTTAACTAATAGAATATAAGCTCTCGAACTGACTCATTTTCATATTTTACTTTTCATTTTTGATGTTTTTATGTTTACATAGTCATGTTTTCAGGTACAGTATGATAAATATGTTATTATTTTGCCAATTTGTAGTCAAATAGTTGGGATGATGCCAATGGACAAGATTCACCCATCCTCGTTATTCAAAAAGAAATTATGAAATTTGAGGACAGGAAAGCGGCAGTAAAATAAAGCACTCGCGACATGAACTAACTGAAACGGAACACCTTAATGACGACATAGATCTATCGAAAGTAAACACTATATATTTACCATTCCTAGGTTTCATCGTTTAAGTTACTGAAGCATCACTTTTCAACCTGTATTTAGTTTTTTACGCGTTGAACTTACAAATCGGTGCATATTTTGAGTTCGTACAGATTGATCGCATCCCCGGAGGGAGTCTGACAAAAGGAGCCAGTAGGGTTGCAGATTATTTCAAGTTATCGTATTTATAATTCATTTCATTGTGATTATATTACTGAACGGACTAGGATATCAGTGAATCGAATGGAAAAGTATGCGTATTGATATTCAATGTCATGCAGTTATACAAACGCATTAGTTTAATTATAAAAAACCATAAAAGCCAATACAAAATACCAACTGACAATCGCATTACTGGAGGGGACATCCTTACTAATAAAAACCTGATCTATAGGAATCGAGTTGGAAAACACTTCATGAGGTCAAGATGCTCAAATTGAACATAACATAAATGATCAAAAGAAGGATGTATGCGATAACAGAATAAGGAGAATTGTCTACAGGCCCAAGAATTGAATTTCTATTGATAGGCCTAAAAGGAACCAAAGAGGGTGCATTGATGATCCATTGACACTAGGCCCAAGGGGAGACGAGAAGGCCAAAGGGGAGACGAGAAGGCCCAAGGGGAGAGGAGAAGGCCCAAGGGGAGAGGAGAAGGCAAACGGGGAGACGAGAAGGCCCAAGGGGAGAGGAGAAAGCAAACGGGGAGACGAGAAGGCCCGAGGGAAAACGAGGAGGCCCAAGTGGAGACGAGGAGGTGCATCTCTGCTTGTTTAAGGTCTTAAACCCAGACTGTTATCATGGGACGATCACTATACAGGGGTTATTTACTATTTTGTTCCATCTGGCTGAGTATGATCGTCCTTATGGCTTACATAACGTCCGTGCCAATGACTAACAACCAGGAATACGAACAACTTAATTTGAAAAATGAAATTAATAATTTGAAGTTAGAAAATAGTAAATTGAAGATGAAATTTGGGAAAACACTTACGATGAAAATGTCATCAAAATCCACACTCATTGGTAAGTTTGTTTGTTTGTTTGTATATTTTTATTTATGAAAGTGGTTATGGCTCGGTCACTTTGACATATTGGTAAGTTTGTTTGTTTGTATATTTTTATTTATGAAAGTGGTTATGGCTCGGTCACTTTGACATATTAAGGTAACTGAGTATGTTCAGAGATTCCAATGGTTTCATTAAGTAATTGGAATACCATATACTCATTCCATACTTGGAGTACCATATACTCATTCCATACTTTGAGTACCATATACTCATTCCATACTTGGAGTACCATATACTCATTCCATATTTTGAGTACCATATACTCATTCCATACTTGGAGTACCATATACTCATTCCATACTTGGAGTACCATATACTCATTCCATACTTTGAGTACCATATACTCATTCCATACTTGGAGTACCATATACTCATTCCATACTTTGAGTACCATATACTCATTCCATACTTGGAGTACCATACATTCATTTCATACTTGGAATACCATATACTCATTCCATACTTTGAGTACCATATACTCATTCCATACTTGGAATACCATATACTCTTCTGTATTGCATTGTATAACAGTGACGCACTTTTTTAAAACAAAACAAAATGTAGATCACTGAATTATCTCCTTTTACTATGTATCTAAGATACCTGAGATACTCATTGCATAACAAATAAAATTGTAGACCATGTGTGTCTAAGTAGGATTTAATAAGTCATTAAATTTTATGAAGATTCGGAATTACCTTAACCAATTTTTGAGGTAGATCTATTTGTTTTTTTAATTTCCTTTATTCTTAAAAATCACATGAGTGTTAAATGTGAATATACATTACCATATACATCTCATCTTATATTACGATTGTAAATAGTGAAACCCCCTATAGTGAGAGAAACTAAATCGCAGATGTTTTGTTCATGAGACAGATTTATGAGTTTTATTTATAGTGGTGCGCGACGATCGTGATCTATCTCATGCAAAAAGCTTTTGTACAGGGTGTCCAAAAAACAGGACCGTAAGAAAGTTGAATAACTCGGTCAGTTTTGCATATTTTGCCTAGAAATTTCAGAATTATTTAGTTCATTCAATGTGGATTTTGTTGTGAAAGTTCTGCTTTCTGAAAATAATCTGCTTATTGAGTCAAAAATTACAGTTCCTTACAAAACATGCCTCAAATGTGCACTTCTCCTCTCTATGGACGATTCAATCCGGCGAACAAAGTTGTTGATGATGTTACGCGGTATATGGCATACATTCATGGTTGCGCGGTATTTGTGATACGGGTGAATATGCCATACTCACCTGCGGTATATGGCATATTCCGCAGGTGAGTATGCGATATTCCGCAGTGAATATGCGATACATTGATTTCAGTGAATACCCGATACTCACCTGCGGAATATGTCATACTCACTTGCGGAATATCCCATATACCGCAGGTGAATATGACATATACCGCAGGTGAAAACGTGATACAGAAAGCCTTGATTTGATTGGTTGTGAGAATCGACTCTAAATGTAAAACTACGCTGGATTACCACTATAGTTAGTGCGTCGAGTACTAATATATGAATCCTGGATTGATTGAGTAAGTTTATTACACGACTGATACTTCTGCTAAGTTAATATATTCGATATTATTATAACACTATCTAGCTAGCGACAGTATGATTGGTCAAAACCGGGTCACATGTCGTGGGATATCTGGCGATATTCAATGGCAATGCTAATCAGATAAGACAACCGTGAGATATCTAGCGATATCCCACGCTCCCGGGAATTTTCAAAGAATTTGTTTTTGTTCAGTGTAAATAATTTAGTTCAGTGTAAGTCAAAATGGCACACGAACCGAGTAGATTCAATGTATTTCAATGTTAACCTATGACTTAATAATATTAGGGATGTTTAGCTAGACAGTGATATAATAAAACAAATATTTCACTCTATTTTCGGTGAATACCTGTAGCACTTTCACAAGGTGATATTCCACTTGCCCTTCGGGCTTCGTGGAATATCACTTGTGAAAGATGTACAGGTATTCACCTCAAAAGAGTGAAATATTTGTTCAATGTTTGATTCAGTAATCATTATAATGATTTATAACGTTTTGTACTTGTTCGTTCAATCGATGCAATTGACAATTGCGTACTTCCGTATCACGTTCCCATTCAGTGGTTAGTGTGTATGCCATATACCGCAGGTGAATCTGTCATACACCGCAAGTGAATATGCCATATTCGTTGCGGAATATGACATATTTTTGTATCGTGTTTACCGCGTAACAGATGATCCTCCTAGGCTATACTTTTCTTTTTGAATGGACAAGTTTATTTCAAGAACAATTGCTACTGGGGCTTACATTCTCCTGATGAAGTGTTACCATTGCATTCTGAACAATGCACTGTCTGGGTGACATTGAGCAAACGTGGAATCATCAGTCCTTTTTGATTCGAAGGTGACTGGGGACGTGCTTTCCCATGAACAAGGACCAGCATATCCAAGTTCTTACTAAGTTTTGGAGGTCACTAATATAAGCATCAGAAGGGGCATCTAAGGAGATAGGCATTGGTTTCAACAAGCCAATACCACTCCAACACTCCAAATGATACGCTGAAATGGTTTAAGCAATGTTTTGGTGATCAGCTCATCTGTCGCAGAACTCATAACATATGGGCAGCTTATTCTCAAGATCTAAATCTCTCAAATTTTTATCTTTGGTGATTTCTCAAAGCCAATGTGTATACTGAAAGGCCCCTAACAATCTTAAGAGGGCAATAACTACCCCAATTTGTACCATCCACATTGATGTGTATAGGTCAGGGTCATTAACAACTTTGTTCGCAGGATTCATTTGTACATAGAGAGAAGAAGTGCCCATTTTGAGCATGTTTTGTAAGGTACTGTAGTTTTTGACACAATCGACAGATTATCATGAAACTTTCACAACAAAATTCTCATTGAATGAATTGAATAATTCTTAAATTTCAAGGGAAAATATGCAAAATTGACCGAATAATTATGTTATTATGTTTTTTGGACATCCTGTAGTTTCTAGTCTTTAATCAAGCATCTGTTCCCTACTATTCTCTTTATCTCTATTCTTGTATCAAACCCATGTTCCATCCAATTCTCTTTATCTATAGTCTTGCATCAAATTCATGCACCCTCCTATTATCTTTATCTGTAGGGTTGTATCGATTTATTTATCTCTAGTCTTGCATCAAATCCATGTTGCCATGTACCCTCCTATTCTCTTCATCTATATTCTTGTATCAAACCCATGTTCCATCCATTTCTCCTTATCTCTAGTCTTGTATCAGATCCACCCACCTTCCTATTATCTTTATCTGTAGGGTTGTATCGATTTATTTATCTCTAGTCTTGCATCAAATCAATGTTGCCATGTACCCTCCTATTCTCTTCATCTCTATTCTTGTATCAAACCCATGTTCCATCCATTTCTCCTTATCTCTAGTCTTGCATCAAACCCATACCTATTATCTTTATCTGTAGGGTTGTATCGATTTATTTATCTCTAGTCTTGCATCAAATCCATGTTTCCATGTACCCTCCTATTCTCTTCATCTATATTCTTGTATCAAACCCATGTTCCATCCATTTCTCTTTATCTCTAGTCTTGCATCAAACCCATGTACCCTCCTATTATCTTTATCTGTAGGGTTGTATCGATTTATTTATCTCTAGTCCTGCATCAAATCCATGTTGCCATGTACCCTCTTATTCTCTTCATCTCTATTCTTGTATCAAACCCACGTATCATCCAATTCTCTTAATCTCTAGTCTTGCATCAAACCCATGTACCCTCCTATTATCTTTATCTGTAGGTTTGTATCGATTTATTTATCTCTAGTCTTGCATCAAATCCATGTTGCCATGTACCCTCCTATTCTCTTCATCTCTATTCTTGTATAAAACCCATGTATCATCCAATTCTCTTTATCTCTAGTCTTGCATCAAACCCATGTACCCTCCTATCATCTTTATCTGTAGGATTGTATCGATTTATTTATCTCTAGTCTTGTATCACACCCATGTTGCCATGTACCCTCCTGTTCTCTTTATGTCTAGTCCTGCATCAAACCCATGTACCATCTTATTCTCTTTATCTCTAGTCTTGCATCGAAGCCATGTACCATTCGTTTCTCTTTATCTCAATTCAATTCAATTTATTCCTTAATCATATAATAAAATACAGTACATTTTAACAGGTGACATCATTTCATATGTTTATACCCGTGCATGTTAAAGCATAATATTACGAATATTAAGAGCAAGGTAAGGTCAAGGAATTATCAAACATATCAAGATTAAGTTTTGTCTAAAAGAAAATCGAAGAGGGGGTGTTGGTGGGGGAGGTGCATCACATATATAAATATTCCAAGGTTTAGTGTCTAGTACCCGGCAGGCTTTGAGTTATATTTGTATATCATTTTTATATAAAATACATGAATATGAAAAGTGTAAAATGAAATCATGTAGACAGAGCCAAAATATATTTCTTATATTTAGATTTGAGGCATTTACTCTATGACTTTTAATGCGGATATGCACATTCAAAAATACTTATATCAACTTCCATTAAATTGACGAGACAATGTCAGATCAATATGTACATTACCTGTCAAAACAATTCTGCTTTTCCATACAAACTAGAGATAAAAGTCACATAAGTTAATATTGAGTATGGATATTATTAAAATAACTTTTCGGCTTTTTGAGCTTTTAATGCAATGCAATGTATCTTCAAATAAAACCTTAGCCAAGTAGATTAGAGACCCTGGAACACTTTTGTAAATGGTTTTCACAAGCAATTTTGTTTGTGAATGCCAAATTTTGTCTTCCCAATTTCAGTCATATTTTAAGTCTAATTTCACGTGCAAAAGTTGTGTAGACATTGTTATTACTCTATGCACCTTATTAAAATAATCAAATCTGATTGGTTAAGAGCTGCAGGGTCTATTGCCATACATGGCAGCAAGATCTCGTTCTATCCAGTATTGAAGCAACGAGATCTCCAACAATCCCATATGCCAGAATACCTATCCTCGAAAAAATACTAGGCTCGGCTTCTGTTTTAGTAGACCCACTCTTTGAATTAAAGTATTTCTCAAGGGAGGTGCATAACAAAATAAATACTGGATGACCATGAGGTGGATATGCCAGAATACCTATCCTCGAAAAAATACAGCATATTTCCTCGGATAGGTATTCTGGCATATCCACCTCATGGTCATCCAGTATTTGCTTAATAAAGGGTAGCGACCACAAGCCAAAGCTTGATCCAAATTAAAGGTTTGTTGTACTGTGTTGTGTAACATGCTGTACGTATATATCGTAACGTACAAAATAGAATGTATTTTTAAAATCAAAAGATAGCACAAAATATTGGCGGAATGATAGAAAATTCATCATTATTCAATCTATCTATGTCTTGTCTCATTGACAACAACGAGTTGAAATTTATGTTTCCATTTCTTGATTCTAGAGACAAAGTTTCTCCGATAGATAACACTCTAGACCGCCTTACATGCTGGAACACTCAGACAATAATACGTATGCCAGTTGATCTATCTGGCCATATATCATGATTAAACTAAAAAGGATGCGCACTTATTTGATACATATCAAATCATAGATTTTATTTTATCCCCAGCATGTCTGAATTGTTTTGTTCCAATCCATAACTCAGTTATCAATTCACTATATCTCATAGAAAACGTTTTTAATTAACTAAATACAGGGTGTACCAAAAAATGTTACAACTTTTTTTAGAAAAGTATTACAACATTATGGTATTGACATAATTTTTTTACAGAAACTTAAGGATGGGCATATCTTACCATTTCTGTAAAAACGTTCGTGTCAATAACATAATGTTATGATACTTTTTTGCCTTCTAAAAAAGTTGCAATTTTTGGCACACCCTGTAATAGCGAGTATCTGGTGCTGATAATAAATGGGTCTTGTTTTATGACGCAAGATCAACAGAGACGTATTTAGATCGAAACATTATAGAAATAGATAAATTGATCAATGTGTATAATATACTTCCACCACAGTTACATGAAGCACCATGTACTTCTACCATGGTAAAATAGAATAGCTTGTATTTCCAGTACATGATAATTATGATGTACTTCTACCAGATAATAAAGTATCATGTACTTTTACCACAGTATAATGAAGTATTATGTACTTCTAGTACAATATAGTGAAGTATCATGTACTTTTACCACAGTATAATGATGTATTATGTACTTCTAGTACAATAAAGTGAAGTATCATGAACTTCTACCATAGAACATTGTATAATAAAATACCATGTACTTGTACTTCATTACAATGAGGTATCATGTACTTCTACCGCAATATAATGAAGTATCATGTACTTCTACCACAGTATAATATAATATCATATACTTCTACTACAGTACAATTGAAAATCACGTACTTCTTTAATACATTACATGCTTGGGTATATTATCCACCATATCGAACTATTATAGTGTCATTGTTTACAGGTGCCTAGTGCATAAACATCATAAGATCAGAATTATTTTGAATTTTTAATCTAAATTACCATTTTGAAACAATTGAGAAAAAAAGATAAATAGATGCATGGTCTTTAATGTGACGGACCTATCATTTACAGCTGGTTCATTATCGGCAGTATGTGGAAAAAGAAAACAAAATAGTTCATTTTGGTTATTTACGGTGTAAATACATGTCAATTATTTTTATGTCTCTAAAGTGGAAGATTCATGTTCATTTGTAGTGGAGTGAAATATCGTTGAAATATTAGAGGGTGGATCTGTGTGGAATCAAAATGACCAAACCTTTGGAGGGCAGTGTAGGTTTTCATTGCTATCTACCTTTGTTTGGAGAAATGGTCAAATGAAAAAAGTTGAACAAGAAGTGATTTTCGAAATGGCCTTCCCCTCTCCACCCCTTAAAACACATGTGAATAACAATGCTGAGTTTTGATTGAACAAACAACAGACATTTATTTTCAAAATGCAAATCTTTCTCCCTCCAATTTTTCTGAATGAAATGCATTCCCTCTCTCAAATGCATTTTTGCTCAATGAAATGCATCGTCCAAAATGCATTTTAAACTACTTACTTTAACAGTAATCATACTATTCCCAAAACAATAACATATTCTCTTTCACGAATCTACATTTCTATTCATTGTATACTAATTTGCAAATTCTCCATTTATTAGATATGAAATCAATTAAAAATCGATACATTTGTCATGACGAATTATGAAAATAATCATGCTTTGAATTTCAAAATAGAGTATTGAAATCAGTCTCAAAAAGTTAATGGCAGATTGTCAATATTCATAGGTGAATAAACGCTTGGATTAACATACCAAATGAAGATCCCAATGCTTGATCTTTACATATGAGAGGTAGTCTAACCTTTCTTTTGTAAATGTCGATTGATAGGAACACATGGCAGCAATGAATGTATTAAAAATACACCAATAGTCAATATTTGAGAAATTATCTTTGACTATGAATTATTCATAACTGGTATTTATTCATGATTGAGTAAATCTGCAATATCCCCATTTTTGACCACATTTCTGATTTTATACACGCACAGGGGAATTTAACAAAGGAGGGGGAGGGGATGCTACTTGTATTTATCCATATGAATAAAGCTGCAATATACCTAAGTTTGACCACATTTCTGATTCTATACACACACAGGGGAATTTTACAAAGGAGGGGGAGGGGATGCTACTTGTTCTTATCCATATGAATAAAGCTGCAATATACCTAAGTTTGACCAAATTTCTGATTCTATACACGCACAGGGGAATTTTACAAAGGAGGGAGAGGGGATGCTACTTGTATTTATCCATATGAATAAGGCTGCAATATACCTAAGTTTGACCAAATTTCTGATTCTATACACGCACAGGGGAATTTTACAAAGGAGGGGGAGGGGATGCTACTTGTATTTATCCATATGAATAAAGCTGCAATATACCTAAGTTTGACCAAATTTCTGATTCTATACACGCACAGGGGAATTTTACAAAGAAGGGAGAGGGGATGCTACTTGTATTTATCCATATGAATAAGGCTGCAATATACCTAAGTTTGACCACATTTCTGATTCTATACACGCACAGGGGAATTTTACAAAGGAGGGGGAGGGGATGCTACTTGTTCTTATCCATATGAATAAAGCTGCAATATACCTAGGTTTGACCACATTTCTGATTTTATACACGCAGGGGGATTTTACAAAGGAGGGGGAGGGGATGCTACTTGTATTTATCCATATGAATAAAGCTGCAATATACCTACGTTTGACCACATTTCTGATTTTATACACGCACAGGGGAATTTTACAAAGGAGGGGGAGGGGATGCTACTTGTATTTATCCATATGAATAAAGCTGCAATATACCTAAGTTTGACCACATTTCTGATTTTATACACGCACAGGGGAATTTTACAAAGGAGGGGGAGGGGATGCTACTTGTATTTATCCATATGAATAAAGCTGCAATATACCTAAGTTTGACCACATTTCTGATTTTATACACGCAGGGGGATTTTACAAAGGAGGGGGACGGGATGCTACTTGTATTTATCCATATGAATAAAGCTGCAATATACCTAAGTTTGACCACATTTCTGATTTTATACACGCACAAGGGAATTTTACAAAGGAGGGGAGGGGATGCTACTTGTATTTATCCATATGAATAAGGCTGAAATATACCTAAGTTTGACCACATTTCTGATTTTATACACGCAGGGGGATTTTACAAAGGAGGGGGAGGGGATGCTACTTGTATTTATCCATATGAATAAAGCTGCAATATACCTAAGTTTGACCACATTTCTGATTTTATACACGCAGGGGGATTTTACAAAGGAGGGGGAGGGGATGCTACTTGTATTTATCCATATGAATAAAGCTGCAATATACCTAAGTTTGACCACATTTCTGATTTTAAACACGCAGGGGGATTTTACAAAGGAGGGGGAGGGGATGCTACTTGTATTTATCCATATGAATAAAGCTGCAATATACCTAAGTTTGACCACATTTCTGATTTTATACATGCAGGGGGATTTTACAAAGGAGGGGGAGGGGATGCTACTTGTATTTATCAATATGAATAAAGCTGCAATATACCTAAGTTTGACCACATTTCTGATTTTATTATCATTATAGCTTGAACTTGAATCCTTGCTTCTTTATCAAATAGTTCTTCTTACCACCCAGTTTCCTTCTCAACACCATGAAAAAATGAGGAAAAGTAACTCAAAAATCGAATCAAAAAGGTAAGTGCACCACCCCCCCCCCCCCCCATTCAGACGCACGTGTCATTCAACTATGAAACGCCCATCCTTCAAACTGAAGGAACATTGTGACGGGCCTTTGTAGGGGTTGAGGATCACTCATACATTCAAACACACTGAAATACATTAATAAATATGAATAACTATTTTCTGTATTTCAGAACCTAAACTGCCATACACCATGAATGACTTCCTTCTTCGGGACCACATAAAGGAGCTGAAGTTTTTCCTACAGAAAAAGCTAAAAGATCAGCCACATCTGTCAAAAGATATAAACAATCGCTTCCAGGATATCGTGTCGATGGACAAAAGGGCTCAAGATACAAATGGCTTCAGTGAGTGGCGACAGAAAGAATCTGATGCCCTCCATAATATGATTAAGACTAGATTACACACATTGCAGCATCCCAAAGACTGCAGTACAGCGAAAGTAGTTCAGTGTAAACTAAAGGATGGCTGTGGATTTGGCTGTGGTGTCCATCATCTCTTATATTGTCTTATTATGGCATATGCCCTGCAAAGGACTTTGATTATAGATGATGGAAAGTTTAGATATTCTAAAGATGGTCTTAAAGAGTTCCTCAGACCTGTCACCCCATGCACCGTTGGCGATTTACCAATGTCAGTGGGTGAGATATATATGAATACGCTCAACTCCGATAGAGCACAAAGTGATATCATTGCAAATAAACAGGCGGTTGCTTTGCCATTAATTGATGGGTTCGGAGGAGAGCTGAGTAAATATCTTCCTTATTCTGTTCCTCGAGATCTAGGTGAACGTCTCATGAATATTCATGGTCATCCCATTGTATGGTGGATTGGCCACATACTGTCATACATTATGACACCAAATGAGCAATTCCAAAAGTATTTAGATGATTTGAAATCCCAGATTCAATTTAAGCACCCCATTGTTGGGGTGCATGTACGCAGAGGCGACAAGATTGCCCAGGAAGCTGAATTCCATGCTTTGAGTGAATATATGGAGAAAGTGGATGAGTATTTTAAGCAGTTAAAACATGATGGTGCTGACATCAATAAAATGTATGTATATATTGCAACAGATGATCCGGGAGTGATTAAAGAAGCTGAAACAAAATATCCACAATACACATATGTTTTGAATTCCACTAATTCTAGGACTACAGGCCACGGAGGATCACAATATACAAGTATAGGCTTCCGTGGAATCTTAACAGATATCCTTCTCTTATCGCAGACTGATTTCCTTGTTTGTACATTTTCATCCCAAGTCTGCAGATGTGCCTATGAAATTATGCAAACTCTACACATAAATGCTCACGATCGATTCCGATCCCTTGATGATAGCTATTACTTTGGTGGTTCGAAGGGGCCTATTGAAGCCAAGGTTTTGTACGATCATATTCCCGTTGATGATAAAGAAGTGGCAATGACGGCCAATGATATTGTTAATATAGCTGGCAATCACTGGGATGGATTCTCAATGGTGATGTCAAAAGGAAAGAGAGGCTTAGTCCCATCATATAAAATACAGAAAATCACCAAGCTTGTTCCTTTCCCAACATATACCATTTAAAAGTCAATATACATGTAGATCAGGATTTTAAGGTTTAAATGCTTGTGCTAGTGTCTTAGATTTAACCATGGTATGTCAATATAACAATGGTGAAAATATTACATTTAATAAAATAACACAATTTTGACTTTTTCAAAATATGTATGCCTTGTTCATTCGATTTTGTATAATTTTAGAAGTGATTACTTACTATTTTAAACAAATTAGGTTCGGATTTGAGACTATGGGTAATAATCAATTCCATTGTATAATTAATCTATAACGATAACTTAAATTTGAAATTCAACCTTTTTGTAACATTAACGGACACTTTTTAATTTAGCCAATAATGTCTCTATAGAAATGAGCAAATTCCGTGTGCTGTAACGGGTGCTATAATAAACTAGTGAAGTCCAATAGGAGAAAGAAAGCGTTTTTATTCCAACTATGAAGATCACAACATGGCAGACATCTTAGATTTAGCAACCCATCATGATTAGCTAGAAAACATCACGTGGTACATAAAAAGTAGGTCAGCGAGCACGTGGCATAATAAACAATTACAGATAGATTGATGAGTGAATTATATACTAACACTACATTTAGATGAATATATTTTCATCAGTACTAAATGAATTATAAGTATTATAAATTATAATATTTGCTTCCAATAGTTTTGCAGAGTATGTATAGTAACTGCAAACATATCCTAGTTTCTTCATAATATACATTTGTTAAATAAATATTTACATATAGTTGTATACAAAGACAAAGCATATATAAGTGTAATTTATATATATGAGTGTTATTATACGTAAGTTTTATTAAAAGCTTATAACCTGTGGTGTTAAAACTGTATCAAATTTATAAGGTACAGGGTGACCCAAAAACAGAACCCTCTAAAATGTAATAATTAAATACCCATCCTATAAATCCAATTTTTTATGTGCATACACGAGAATCTATGGATGATAATATAATACCAAGTTTGTTACACAAAATTAATTATTTGTGATATCATGGATGATCTTAGAATATGTCCAATTTTCGGAAAATCAACATTGAGACAAAATCATTTCTTGAGATTTTATGAGAAATTAAGGCGGAAATTCCAAAGAAGACATGAAATGTAAGTCTCATTTAATATTTCAATTGAAATATGAAGAATAGGCAATGGTAAAACACTTAAAGTAAAAGATCAGATGACTGAAATTCTTGGTCTCTGAGCAAGAACATCTCAAACTCTGTATGGAATTCCAATGGATGAAATCCAAGAGATCTTGAAGACAACAGAATGATCAGTCAAGACCATTGAATGACATGTGATATCAAAGTCAAATGTTGAATAATGAGTTGGAAGAGGAAGAAAAGAGAACTGTTAAACACCTGAATGGAAAAAATGATCAGCTTACACTCATCTCGTGAGGTTTCTAAGAATGGGGGTATGAGAACACCTGAAAGCACTGTGATTGTGATTATACTGAAAGAAATTCCAAAATATCGCTCAGAAGGTGCAACCAAACCTAAAGATGACTTAAAGGTTTCTGGACGACTTCCTCATTAATGCTCCCATTTTTAAAATGGCCATAACAAGAAGAATATTAAATGTACCAAAAGTCTCACATTGTCACTGTACATGAAAAATGAAGCTGGCATTAAAGAAAAAATTATTTCATTTTTGGAGGGTTCTGTTTTTGGGTCACCCTACAAATTAAACGTATAAATATCATATAGTCAAAATTGGATTATAAGTGATATTTTTACTGCTTTTAAAGGGCAATTATCTCACTCTAGATTCCCCCAAAATGTAACTTCCACTGCCAACGATCAAAAAATTTTATATAGACTTTCTTTTCAGTTATTGTCTAAACTTGAAAAATTTGCTCATTTAGTATGTGTATTTCAAAAATTGAAAATGTGTGTGAAGAATAATTTAGTTTGGAACTTGCTATGCTCTTTGCAAGGTGATCATGAGCAACCTTTTCAAGCAAGAGGAGGGAAAGCCCCAGAGTTTAAAGATGAAAGACATAATTACGTCTCTTGCTTACCACCTTCGTTCGTTCAAATTTTCATCGACTAGTTATCAAATACTACACTTCGATGGGATGTTTTAATTGATATAGGCATATTCCGTACACCTTTCTTTATCTTGATGTGAAATGAGAAGCTATGATATTGGTTAACACGCCAGAAATGAACATAATATTATTCGAAGCGTATTTCGAAAATTGTGAAACAGCCATTGATGACGTAATTTGTTTGTCGACTTTTGACCAATCAGCGACGATGTCATCTCAATACAGATTTACATTATAAGCGTATGTCATCTTTGAACCAAGGGAAAGATCAATACCTGGTGATTTCAGCGGTAAGTGGCGTTTCGTTCAGTGGATGAGCTGCGCGCGCACGCATAAATATGATTATCCAATATAATTAGGGGAGGGATATTTGAAACAGTTTTTGGTCTCAGGCGCGACCCAGGGCTGTTGTCTTAAGGACATTTCGTTGAAAATAAGCCATTCGGCTAATAATTGGTAAGAGTTTGCGATCTTATAATGTATAACTGTTACTCAGACACATATTTTGACACGATTCTGGTTGAAATAAGCTTTGAACCGAGAGATATTCACGATTGATATGCACATTTTTGATTGTGCCATTGCTTTTCCATTGCTCAATCCATGTATTGATAGAAGTAACATTAATAATGCAGATTGGTTTACTTGCAATACATGGCAGACACTACATATCGGTCTATTAAATACCAGTTTCAATTGTGCCTTAAATAGTTTTATATTTCCATCCACGGCCTGGAGCCTGGGTGTGTTTGTCTCTTGTGTTTGTGCTTGTGCATGGACTTCTAATCACTAGCAGAATTTAACATGATGCAAACTCGACATTATAACTCATGCTGTAACATTTTGACTTTGCTGGAAAACAATAGGAATTATTTTTCTTGCCAATCAATCATGAATCACAATCAAAATTTCACTATGATCAATCAGGCAATGGTCCAAATCAAGTTATAACATTATATGATATTCAGCAAGAAGTCCGGTAGAAATACAGAATATTTAAACATCAAAGCTGAAAGTTAAAAGCTAATCTGTCAATTTTCTGTCTGCAAAAGAGCGTTTACATTTGACACAATAACAGACTGAGTCTTTGAAATCTAGGATTCCCCAGGAAAATATGACGTCATACTAATTAGCATAAGGATTTCCCTATTGGTATGGGTCGAGCCTTGTTCGAAAACACAATCCATAAATACATGCTAATTTCTAAGGAGATAGGAAGTGTATAACGTGTTTATCGATTTTGTTCAAAGATTTAATCAATTATCAAATTGTTTAAGTGGATAAAGTGGTAACACTTGCTTCAATTCATAGCGTAATCGACGGATAGAAACTGACCGAATTCCCGATATCCTACCCCGTATTACTGTAGGCTATAAGCACAGTGACCTACAGAGGGCGCTATCACAAACAAGTACTGCACGAACCGATTAATTCCCGGGTATTGTAACGCCCTTGTTTGAACCCTGGTGTTTCTCCCCCTCTGTTTTCAAACAGTGTTTTCAGAAACGGAGATCTGCTCAAATATCTATTGATTGAGCAAATAATAGATCATTTTGGATTAAAAATGACTTTTAGAATAAGAATTACAAACGGAACCCTTTATAAGATTAATCAAAACTTCTAGTTATCTATATAAGGTATAGAGGCAGTTATTGTCCATTATCGTAAACATTAATTAATTGACCTTATTTTAAAACAATCACAAGTATCACTATATTTCAAGTTTATCGCCAATATAACATATGACAATTTATGCACAAAATGTACTTGTATCTAGAAACCATTTATAACTGAATGTTGTGAAATCTGATGTGTATGTAAATTGATGCTATTTGTAGATACCACAGATAGTGTTGAGCATAATAAATGCACCTAATAAATTAACTTTATGTACAGTATATATCGTCATTTTAATTTTCAACTGAGTGATTATTTTTGCCACTGTCATAAAGTTGTATCAATTCATTTAGTTTTATGACCCAAATTAGCCTTAGATAAAGTCTTTCAAAGTCTTAAAACAATCTCATTGGTCAGGTTGAGCTCTGTAATTGATTTGATTGGTCATCCACATTTTCAAGAAAACTGTACGGGGGTAGATCGAAAGGAAACGTTAACTATCTCATGGTCTTCTAAAGAATGCTTATTGAAGGTCATGATTTCTCATGTGATGGCTGATTCCATTCTCTTCAACTCATTTTTATTTTAAAACCTGGCCATGACAGTCTGTGTATCTGTAGTTCACACATATATCTGTACACGATAGAGATAAAGGGCATGGATTTCAGCGAAACCACATTAATCATTACGACACTTCCAACGTACATTGCACGTAATAACAATGTTATACCACGCTGACATATGTGGGATATACACCATTTTGTATTGAAATACAAAATTCAGTAAAAAGAGTGGAATTGGCTAGAAATAAATTGGACAAACGTGTACTTAACACTTTAAATTGTAAAGAAAGGTCAGGCAAGGTATCAACATGCAAAATGTCACTACCTGTCATTTGTTACAGACGCCGAAGGTCGAACTTCGAGCGCCGACCGCTGACACGAAAAAATTGGAGACCATAACAATTTGTTACCACTTGTGATGGTGACCTAAAAATAAATATTTATTTGAAATTTTCAAGTGAATGTTAATTAAGCACGATCAATAAGAAAATTAAGACACGAGAAACATATTTTGTAATAACACGATAATTGTTGAAAGTATCTATCATCAATTCCGGTTCTTATTCTAATTAAGTCATATTAACAGTAAAACAATATCAATGATACGTGTAATTAACGCTGCAAATGTCAATTTGACGTTAAGGTCGACTGATTTAGTTAAACGATACTTACTACGTGTAGCTAATGGTAAAATCAAATAAAACGTTTCATGTACTTTCTCACCGGAATACCCTGACAACGGTAAAGTCAGATACCGTGGTCACAAATGGCGGAAATAACCGTCGCTTCAACTCTCAAATCACTTGGTCCTCGTTTCAACTTTTCGACTTTATGATGATGTATTATATGAAATCCCAATATCTATCAAATGGGGTCGTGAATCGCTACAA